GTCACTGGTTCCTTTTGCTAAGTCATATTAACTAAGCTGTAGGTTCCTTCAAAGCTACAAAATGGTACAAGTGAGTCACGTTGGTTCCAATTGTTTGCTGATTGTTTTTAGTGGATACTTTATTGCGTTCAATACATTCCTACTACTGTTTCTGACTGGTTCTCGGTTTTTTCCTCTTCTTATCTCTCGTTGCGTAATCTTATCCACTATAGAGCCTTAGGGGGAAGAGCTCAGTAATGCTGCAGTTCCTCTAACCAGAGAAGTCCGCAACTTACCACGGAACTTTGAATGGAGACCTGGGTTGATTCTGATAGAGTCTATAATGTTATTTACAAATATAGATAGCAAAACTGCAACCTGCATTTCACAAGCAACTTATGAGCAGGTAAGTTTGTAATGGTGCAGTAGGGTGGAGGCTTGGTGGTGAGCTGTGAAGCATAAGCGAGGAATCGCATGCGTCCAAACAAGTCGGGCGGTGGCTCATTGCTAAGGTTTGGACATTCGCGACTGATTCGACGTATGCGATTCCTCGCTTCACAGCTCACCACCAAGCCTCCACCCTACTGCACCATTACAAACTTTACCTGCTCATAAGTTGCTTGTGAAATGCAGGTTGCAGTTTTGCTATCTATATTTGTAACCTTATAGACTCTATCGATCTACCCAGGTCTCCATTCAAAGTTCCATGGTAAGTTGGCGGACTTCCTGTAGTGAGGAAGACCGTATGAGGTCGCTCTAAGAGAAAGGGATCGTATCTGGCCTCGAGAGAAGATTATCCGCTCCACACGTGTTACTAGCCGTTACATAGCCCCTTGCCTCCCCTTCTCTAGATGGCGGAACAGCAAAACTATTTCTGATAATTCATCAGTGGTGACTACTCCCGTGCTCTTCTCCCGCTAATGGCAACTTTTGGGAAAGCTTGGCAAGGTTGGCTGTGGAACAGGAATCGTACCGGAGAAGAACATTGAGGAGGGTCGTGTTAACTGTTTAGGTTCAAAAACTCTTTTCAACGCCAGGACATAATCTAATAGAGGACAAATGGTGGCTCGTCTGCACAAAAGCAGAACGAACCATCCTCATCGGAGTCATAATACTCCTTGGAAGTGACTATTTATGAAAAACATTCTCTCTTATTCTTTTCCAACTAACAACATTTCGGAAGAGCGGGCCAAATATGCGGTCAAAAAATCTCTGCGACTCCATACGAAAGTAGAGTGCGTGGCGCAAACTAAGAATGCGTGGTCCAATGCTTTTCTGGTAGTTCTGGCTGATTACGCTTCTTCAAACCGTGAGCCACTCTGAGGACAGCAGAGTTTTTGCAGTAGTTGAGACTCGGAATGACCATTTGCAATCTACCTTTGAAGAAGTTTTTTTTTCAAAAATGACGTACGACCGACTTTTCCCTATTCTACGGCAAAATCAAAAGTGTTGTTCATTGACGAGTTTGCCCTTCACCTTTTCACTATTGACACACGCACCAAAACTATCTGAAATTGGCGCAATACGACCCAATTATGCTGTGAAGGGACGAAAGGGGAAAGGGCATGTGACGAAGCAGGCAATTGGTCGAGTAATGCAAACAGAGCGATGACACTTACTGTATGTCTCTCATGAAAGGGAAGGCACTTCAGCGGACTTGTAAGTCCGTCTCAAGTAAACCCTTAGAAATCACATCTACTACTGCTGCTATTGAAGACTGCCCCTTCTAAGGTGAACTTTCTGAACGACCTCGCTGTTCGGCGTGGAGGGAGCATTTCGCGTTTTCGCTAGTGCGCTTTGTTTGCTCATGCTCGGTCCTTTGATGAGAACTGCTACTGGAAATCTAAGAAGTACGAAAGGGTCACTTTTTCATAGGAATCTTCGGGCCTCCACAGGGGGGCCTCCTTATAGTTAAATGTGTACCATTTCATGTCCCCACTGAGCCCAACTGCACCTAAACGCCTACCCAACGAAGCTGTCAGTTTGAAGAGGAACCTTGGAGTGTTTGGCTCCAATCAATCTCTCTGGAATGCGCCATGCGTCCAACCCCATTCTGTGCTATTTGACCTTTGCGAAGACTCGGGCTTGGCTTCACTATGAATGGGTCACTGTTTTGCCTTCCGAGATACAGTCACCATGAAAAAGAACCCATTGTTGCTCTGGTCAACCTGGTCCCTGATACTGGTATATCTCTTGGGGCTGCACCATTTTGCCCATTAGGTATAGTTCAAACAAACCTCTACAGTCGCTACCACGAAGACAGTGGGAGCGTGGGTTTCAGCGCAGCGCCAATCTCTATACATCAGGGCGGCTTCGGCGTTTAGATGAGCGTTGGGGAACGGCATGGTTCCGCACCAAAACACACGCGTTGCTGACACGCCCCCTTCGACTTCGTGATAACGACCGAACTAAGTGACATATAAGACACCGACTGGACCTTTTGCTTGCGTTATACAATAGCTTTGAAATACGTCTGGCACATCTGGAAACTTCTATCATAACTGAGTCATAAGCACAGGAAAACAGGCAGGATACAGCACCTTAAATTGCCGGTAAATCGAGTGATCGGCAGAGCGGAGAGTGCCTATGAGGGCCGAGTGCTCACAGTGCCACGAACATTTTCTAATTCAGGAGGAAAGCGGAATAAGCGTCATCCTCTCCACCTGATCTCACCCCGGAGCTTTTCCTGAACTCATAATCATGTTTCAGTATGACTGTCAAAGCTATGCGTCAAGGTTCCCCCGGGACGAGCTGATTTTTTGTCGGACCACTCGACAAAAGGCACCGAATAGTAAGTTTTTCCTCGTTTTCAGTTTTACTTTGATAGATGAATGACTGCGATCAAGTATTCAGAAGATGAAAATATGAGCAATCGGGAGGATAATGCGTTCGCGACGGAACAACCTTGCCTACCGTTTATCGCGGCAAAAAGGTGGGCAGTTGGAGGGGGCGCTATAAGGCAAGAATGGTCCAGTGGTTTCCTCCTTTTTTCCAGGTGACTGAACTCCGCCCTCCCAAGCGCCGCCCTGCAGTGAAACCCAAGTTGGTGCGGACGAGAAAGCATTGAAACATTGTGAGCGCTTCGTTATATGTAGGACGTAGGGTTGTATTGAGTCAGCTGAGCACGCGGAGTGGTAAAACTGGAAATGTACTGAAAAAAGTATTGTGTTGCAAAAAGGCACGAAATGTTGGAAAAAAATAGTAACATTTTGAATTTTAGAAGCAAAAACAAACTCAGAAAAAACAAAGAATCATAATAATACGATAAATTCATTAAAAAATAAGAATACTTAAAGGTCTAGCCTTTCATACGTTGGCGCCGACGAGGACCTTACTTGCTGCAGCGACCCATTAACGTGGAAGCTCCGTTCCCATAAGCGCTGTTTCCCCATCGTATGCACGTACAAACTAGGATTGTAATGGGGTCCTATTTAGGTCATTGGGCATGTTTTTTTCTGCTTTTTCCTTCACTATTGTTTTACTCTAAACCTTGTCCTTTTTATGCGAAGCCTAAATTCACTATCTAAGATGGCAAATGAGCGCGGGCTTTGTCTTTAAGAGACTGCAACTACTTGACTTTGGGCTGAGACTATTCAAAAGTGTGCTTAACCAGATATTGATTAGAAATCAAACATTTTCGTCATTTTTTTGCCAGCTTCGCATAATAATAGATAAGCAATCGACCCAACTACTGCCTCTAAGGATACTCCTCTTCGTCGTTAGCCTGGGCAATGTCCGCCATCGCAAGGCTGAGCAGTTAGGTTGACACAGAATTGGTGTGCCTTGGGAACAACGGCTTATCGATTGATGACATTTTGCCAAGATTATGGACAGTTGACGTTCGTGCACGTGCCTGGATGTTTACCATCACTCAGAGTCCTTTTCTCCTGCGAATTAATGGGACGGGTCATACGGGATGGGTTTGGCGCGCGCGCAGTGTTCTGTCTCCAATTGTTGAGGGGGCAAGTGACAAGTAGAAAACGATTGGCACGAACGAGATGTGGTACGCTCTTACCGGTGCCAGAATAGAAGAAAGCGTGGCGGCGGGCGGATCCCCATGATACGCCCCATAAGCAGCGACTAGATTCTACCCCTATCGTCTGATCTCTCCACTGGGCGCTCAATGTTTTGCTCGGTGGTACACATGCACCACTCAAAATTACAAAAGATTCCATTTTTTTTTCTTAACGGCTTCTTCTGTGCCACTGGCGACTGTCTGCCGACATATAAAAAGCGGGACACGAAACTCCACTGCCCATTAAAGACAGTCTCCACGCATAAGAGCTCCTCAATGCTCCCTGACAGTCACACCTCCCTGCGGTCTCTGTGCAACCCCTGGCTCACAAATCGCTTTATCACATCTCCCAGTAGTGGATATCATCGAATGCAAAGAAAAGAATACGAAAAAAACACGACGAAAAACACTTAAAAAAGAAAATTTCAAAAACTCGGCGTCCGAATTTGGGGTTACGGTAGCGTGCATCTTTTAGTGCATGTCGAGCTTTTGCACCACGAAAATTGCATCACTCGTGATTTTTACGCGTTTTACCTTGCGAGATGGGTTGCAGTTGGCTGCATGTGCTCCTAATGAATAAAATGTAATAAAGGAGATCATTTATGGGCGGTCAGCAAAAAGGACATGCACTTCCGATTAATGCCGCCGCCCAACAAAGAACAACTGAGCGGCCCTCCGTCAGAGGGCATCTAGCAAGTGGGCGGTCCAACTGGGCGGGCGTTAGAACTAGAACTTTCAGCAGGCTGTAGCTCGCTCCTCGCTCGCTGTGGAGTCGCGAGAGTGGGACAGTCTCTAGCTTGGGGGGGGGGGGGGTGGACTACTTGCACAGGGAAGGACGACCATGTACTACTTGAGCGCGGGGCTGTCTTTAGGACCTATTGTAACTTTGCCAGGACCATCCAAAACTACTCAATCAAGTGCGCGGGTAATTTCAAAGCTAATTTCTCTCAGATTTGAAGCCGTCAATACTTTTCAATGAATAACCTCTCCAGATACTTACACGATCATGAAGGAATGCATATCCGAACAAGATCACTATCAGTTGTTCCCTAATAAGGGTTACGCTATGGAGGAAGAATGTGACCTAGTCGATGTGCAAGGGCAAGAGGTAACGCACTACATTTTAAGATTACACAAGTAATAATTAACAAGCTTTTTTAGGTGGCATATTGCCTTTGCCGAAATCAAAACTTCTGCAATAAGTTGCCGATTGCAGATCAGTTTATTGCTTTTGAAGAGGTGATGTCTTGATACTACTTTAGCAACTAAATTTTATTTTTAATATTTATTAGATCCTTCCGTATTTATTTTGATCTATTTTCTATTCAGTTATAAATTGACGGTTCCTTTCAGAAGAATCCGGAACTTTTCGCTGACCCTGAGCAGCCTCCTGCGGCAACTATCTCGAAAGGTCCTGCGCCATTGGGAGTGCCAGTATCGATGCAATCTTCGGCTGCATTCATCGCTCCACCAGTACCTCCTCCACCCATCATT